GTCGAATCTACAATCTCTGGATCAAAGCTACATTTATGTTAATTGTAACTCTAATACGCAAGATCAGTCGTTGTTTCCCCCTAGAGTGTGATCATCAACTTGAACAAAACTCTCAACATTATTTCCAATTCCACGAGCTGCTTTAGTTGTCATGTACCCTAAAGGCAAATTGTAAACTGAACGCTAAAGTCTGCCCGATCCAAGGACACTTCAAGAAGCCTATCAGTACGCCCTAAGAGCCTTATCACCATTAGTTTCTGATCAAAAGATCAAGGACCTTCCTCGATAACTCGACTAACATTTCTTTCATGATAAAATTGGAGATGAAATTTAGAGGCACCGACCTCTTCAATAAAAACACCCTGAATTTTTCTCCACACCATGGCCACAGTTTCGCGAAAAAATTGGACGGATAGGTTTGTCAGATACCACTCTTGCCATAGCCAAAAAACAAACTCCCCCATCTACCTCACTATTACCCCCTTCCGGGTTACCCCTTACGGGTCAGCTACCAGTCCAAACCTCCCAATAGTGATTTTATTGTAAGACTCAACAAGCATATTCATATGGAGACCCAAACAAAAATACTCAGAAATTATAAAGGAATGCTGATTAGAAAAAAAAAGGAAGCCGAGACGTTAAATCATATTCATATGGATATTTTATATTTCACATTTTCATTAATTAAAATTATTGTTAAAAGTTGTTAAAAAAAAGTAAAAAAGAAAGCAACATGAAAGTGAAGAAACACTCAAAGAACAGAGACATTAAGAGCATGTTAGGTAACACGAAAATCGGCTGATTTAGCTGATTCTGCTGACATTTATGAAGTTCTGGCTGAAGTGGTTGCATTGGCTGATTCTGTTGATTTAAGAATAAGTTATTTTTAAAATATATTTTATTAATAAAGTAAAGAAAAAATAATGTGTAAAAATAGCTAGAATGATCATCTACACTAACTTCAGCCAATACAGCCAGAAAAGTAACTTCAACTTTACTTTTTTTGCTTATTACATAATTCAGCGCGCGAAAGCAAAATTTACGTGTTTGGTGAAAAAGTTGGCTGATAAGCCTGATAAGCTGAAAAATAGTGTTGCCAAACGACCTCTAAGTGTGTACAACATGAAACAAGCTTGCTGCGTAAGAAGGTAAACAAAAAAAGGACTGCATGAGTAGGGGGTAAGTGCATACTCCAGGAATGAGAAGAGCTTTATTAATAAGCTCAAAGTTTTAATATGTTACAAAAATACCGGGTGTAGGATATAATTTGCAATGCAACAATGTGCGTAATGCATGCGTGACATGAGAGATGACAAAAAAAAATATTGATGAAATTTATCTTTTTTGTGGCAGTCTTCCATATCTTAGTTTGTTTTTAGCAAGAAAGTCAAACACAATGTCTACATCTAGATGTTTTCCTTGTCATTATAGAGAAATAGTTACTAAAAATTAATAAGACCATACAAGTAAGAGCATCTTCAATGGTAAAATGTGAACGGTGCACACGTGGCATGAGAAATAGCCACATAAATATTAGTAAATAAATTCTTTCTCTCCTTATTTGAATGATTTTATACAGTTTTGGTAAGTTTTTCTCCACACTGTCAAGGAGACCGTCTAGATGTTGACATTGTTGTTGACATTGCAGGGAAAAACTTACCAAAATTGTATAAAATCATTCAAATAAGGAGAGAAATAATTTATTTGCTAATATTTATGTGGCTATCATTCATGCCACATATGCAACGTGGACATTATAGCATTGGAGATGCTCTAAGAAAAGAGATATTATATTACTTAATTTTTATGTATATCTCGTATGCACGTATGCAATGTGCACATTGTTGCATTGAGGCTGCTCTAAGAGCATCTCCAATGCTACAATGTGCATGGCGCACATGTGGTATGACAGGTAGCCGCATAAATACTATGTAGTAGTAAATAAATTATTTATCTCCATATTTGAATAATTTTATAAAATTTTGGAAAATTTTTGTTAGGTCCCCTAGATTTTGTTGATTAATATGTATTGGTTTGATGATGTCACCCCTTTTTACTATGAGTCAATTCCTTAAATAGGACTAAAAAGTGGCAAAATTGCACAAATAGGACTACATTTTTTAAATTCCCTTAATAGGACTATTTATGTGTGTTTGGCCAAATATACCGTTGTAACTTGTGAAATGTTTTAATTAATAATAAAATCATACAAAAATAATAAAAATCGAAAAAAATACTAAAAATCGTAAAAAGATAATAGAAAATTAATAAAAATATTTTTTAAAAAAATTAAAAAAAAAATAATTTTTTTAAAAAAAAATAAATAAAAAAAAATCTAAAATTAAAAAAAAAAACATTACCACCCCTGCCACCCCCAGCACCACCAGCTCCCATCACCGGAGAAAAATATGCCAACATTTTAAATAATGCCATAATGATGGCATATTCAATGAAAATGTTGGCATATTGAAGAGTAATTATGCCATCTTTTTGGCATTTTCAGAGAAAGATGGCATTTTTTTACCAAAAGTGGAAGAAATTTCACCAATCGGAGGTGGTGGTGCTGGGAGGCGGTGGATGGCAGTGGGAAATGTATCCATAATATTTTTCATTTTTTTATGGGTTTTTACTAATTTTTATTATTTTTTAAAAAAAATTAAAAAAATAAAAAATTATTTTTTTTATTTTATAAATGTTTTATAAATTTTTTATAATTTTTTTACGTTTTTTAAATATTTTTTACGTTTTTTTATGATTTTATTATGAATTAAAGCATTTCATTATGAATTAATACTCTTAGGGGTATTTAGGGTAGAAAATCTATGTTAAGTCCTATTTAGGGAATTTAAAAAGTAGTAGTCCTATTTGTGCCTTTTAGGAACTCATTAGTCCTATTTAGGACAATTTCCGTTTTACTATCCCTGTATTACACTAGATTCTCTTGTACTTGTTCCATTTTGTTTATTGTAATGTGCTCCTATATTAGTGATAAAGTACTCAAGAAAAGCAAAAAGTATTAAAAAGAGAATAAACGTACCAATAAATAGGGTTGTAAACGAATCGAATAATGAGATTTTGTATTTATATTTGTTTAATTTTTTCGAATACGAATTCGAATTCAAATATGAAACGAATATTAATTTCGATTTGTATTTGTATTTGTTTAACAATACGAATAGTTAACGAATCATATACGAATATCGAATCGATTTGAGCATAGGTTAAATATCGAATATCATTTTAAAATAACTTTCTTATACTCCGTATTGTTTATGTTGTAAATGCGTTATGACTTAATATGTGTTTTTAGAATTTAAATTGAATGGATCAATGCATTTTTAGATGGTGCACAATACGGAGTATACTAAAGTGAATTAATTTTATGATTAATAACTATAAACTATTTCAAACTTTTTAAAATAAACACTAACACACGCATATTAGAAATTATACTTATAATGTGTGAAATAAGTTGATAATTGTATATATCAAAGTCAAACAACTCTAATCTTATTCTTCAAATCGAATACATAATTATTTGTATTGTATTTAAAAGACTTTTGAACCAAAAAAATTGATTTGTATTCGTATTTATATTCTGTTTTATTACAAATGGGCTTGGAATCTGTATACAAAAATGTATATATGGGCTACACTCTGAGGGTATTTTTATCTTTTAATAGTTATTACAGTGTTATTACTATTATTAGTATTAATATTGACAATAATATTACTATTATTATTTATCGAATATATTTGATTATGATTAATATTCGAATCGAATACACTGATATTCTTATTTGTATTTATTAACAACTTGAATCAAATTTAATATTCTTATTTGTATTTGTATTTTCCGAATTCGAATCGTCATATATGAATTCGAATCACGAATCGAGCATACATTATTTGATTCATTTACAACCCTACCAATAAACAAAAAGAAAAGAATAAAAAAGAAAAAGTACGAAAAAGAGTTAACTAGTATTCATTGAAAAATGGAAACCAACTGAAACACCGGAATTCGGCAGCCTGCTGAAAAATTGATATCCGAAATCAAACTCAGTCTTCTCTTAGCACAAAAACAATTAAACAAATGATCAACTTGCAGTCAAAGGGTGTGTTTGGTAATCGGCGTTTCCGCCAGAAATTAGAGGGTTTGACCACTTTGGCGGTTTCAAAGGTCGAAAACGCCGTTTGTTGTGTGTTTGGTAAATGGAGGTTTGGCATGGCATTTTGGATGTATCCGCCAAATACCAATACGCTGCAACTAGTAGCGTTTATACTTGGCGGTTTCAGATAATTATTTAATTGTCAAATTTGTCCTCAGATCTTCTTTTCCGTTTAATTTCCGATGTAGGTGTTTAAGGCCTTCCCTCTTACTTCTTCTCTGGGTCGCCGGAAGTCCAGAGCTTTTTGAGTGTTCTAAAAATCATGCTATGGTTCTGGACTTGCATTTGATTGAGTTTTACACAACGAATCGGTTTAACTGCTTTGCGTGAGAAATTACATGCTATTAAAGTCAGTTAAGAATAAAAATAAGGCCTAAAGGATAAGAATTCACTGGAAATTAATACTACTCCGTAGTTTTCTTTTGGACCCAAAATGTGCTATTCATCAATTAGATATATATTTTTGTATTATTGTGTTTTTTATTTAGTCATATTTTAATCAATAATATAATAATAGTTCGAACTTATCAATTACGCATCATTATTAAAAAATGGGTATTAAAATTTATTAATGCATGTCTTCATATGTCTTTTTACCTAGTAACCGCTAGGTCCAAACAGCTGATCTGCCAAACGTTATTCTGGATTCCGCCAAATGAATCCGCTAGTCAAATCCGCTAACAGAATCCGTTGTTAACAACCCGCTAACATAATCCGTTAACCGCTGACCGCTGACCGCCGATTGTCAAACACACCCAAAATAACAAATTGATAGAAAATAAATTTATAAGAGATTTTTATCTTATTATAAATTTCTTATGAATTTATAAGAAACTCGGTACTTGTTATTTGTAAGTTTTAGCAAGTGTTTCTTACATAGTCAAAACAGAAAATAATACGGAGTACTTTGTATTTGGAAAGAAACTAATAAAATCAAGTATTTTTAGACGTGGCTCAGCGTCATACGAGTACGTAGTAAGAAGTATATACCTACTAACTTATTTGGTGTTTCTGGCTCTCCTGCTGTTTCCTCTCCCTCATCTCTCCCGCAGAAAGGAAAGCCGGGCCCCTACGATCAATCGATCCGCTTCTCGGATCCCGACCAGTGATCAAAACATACCAAATATGAATGATGCCGATGTATCCAAGCAGATCCAGCAGATGGTCCGATTCATCCGCCAGGAAGCGGAGGAAAAGGCCAATGAGATTTCTGTCTCAGCCGAAGAAGTGAGTATGCATTGAACTAGAATGTTGATTTCAATTTCATCTAAATATCTCTGTTATCTCTGTTGCGTTGGAGATCTTAAAGTAATTAATTGAAACAAGAATCATAGATTTATTAATTTTGTACCACTGTTAGGAATTCAACATTGAGAAGCTGCAACTAGTGGAAGCTGAGAAGAAGAAGATCAGACAAGAGTTTGAACGCAAAGAGAAGCAAGTTGATGTCCGGAAAAAAATGTAATGTGCAAAGTTACTGTTTTTACTGGTTCAGCTTGTGATCTTATCTTATTTTTTCCAAGTCTTAATGTGCTTTTGTTGAATCTGTACACAAGATCGAAATAGGCCTTCATAATATATGCAGTCAGTCTCTGTCCGGTTTAGCTTTGCAATCTTCATCCCATGACATCTAACTTCTAGGTTCCGTTTATAGTTAACATTTCTTTGTCGCCACTCCAATAGGAGTTGGTGTACTTAAAAGTTCAAAAACATGACTTGCAGGCTGCCAGGCTGCAGTATGAAACCCAGTGATCATAAATAGTTTGATTCTTTTTTAACCTTATTTGCAACAGAATCACATCTTTCTTTTCTCTTTAGTATTTTCATCTTTACTACAGTTTGAAGCCTGGGATCTCAGAAGCTTAAACTTGCCTGAACATCTACTATCAATGTCAACCAAGTTTGTGGTTAAACTTTACAAATGATAAATAAAAAAACTCTGCATATCCATTTTGCATTCCCATCTAAATTTTAAGGATTGCTACACAATGTTGTGGCACACCTGCCACCTAAAACTCCACAGAATAGGTTGTTCTGTGTTCATTAATCCACCTTTGCCAGGGTTAACCAAAAGCTAATTCTTATACTTATAGTTGTTGAGCTTCTCCAATAACCTAACCTTTTTTTTACTTTATGTCGAACTCCGTCCCTAAAATTTGGTTATGTTGCTCAATTGGTTTGGAATATAGAGATTTTTTTTTGGAGAACACATTGGAAAAAGGAAGGAAAACATGTTCCGTTGAGAATTTGGTTCTTCCACTCTCTTTTTGAGCTTCCATTATGAGTCTATCATATGTAGTGAATTCAAAATTCTTTCTGCTATACAAATTTAAAGCGGCATGGCTGCTCATCACCTATATTTTAAACAAAGATGGGTGGGAACAAAATTAGATCCAGACTTTGAATGGAAATATGTTGTTGCACTTCATTGGAGGAATTTCTAATGAAATTATGTTGAGTTGATTTGGAAGACTGTTCTTGTCTGTTCAACAACTGGGTATAGTCTATTTGGAAAAAATAGTTTAATGTTATCCTATGTCTTCTTGCAGTGAGTACTCCATGCAGCTCAATGCTTCTCGTATTAAGGTTCTTCAAGCTCAAGATGACTTGGTTAACTCTATGAAAGATGCTGCATCAAAGGAGCTTTTGCGTGTCAGCCATGACCATCATAACTACAAGAAACTTCTGCAAGATCTTATTGTTCAGGTAGTGAAGCTCAGCCATTCCTAACTTGACTCTGGTGTTTTTGTGTGTGTAAATTATAGAGGGCGTTATGGGTTGTCCGAAGGTTGTGAGTTGTGACATGTAGAGCTTGTGTTATCAGTGGTGTCTATAGCATTGTATGTCTCTGTGTGTGTATACATGCATGTGTGTGTGTGTGCTCGTGTATTTTGTATGGAAGATTGGAAGAGATTTGAACAGGTAACACCTTATAATCACATATGTAATGTACTGTCTTGTATATCCTAAGATCATATTGAAAACCTGGATGATGAAATAACTGTTCCTCCTTCCTTTTTCATCCATGACACGTGCATTTCCTACAACTGCATGGTTATACTTGATGGGAACATGATGTCCAGCTTGTGCTTGTTTATGAAGGCTAACTTGTCTTATTTTCATCTCAACACAAAAGTTTTTAATAGGATCATTGCAGATCATGTAGTTGTAGTTTCACAAAATGAGTATGTCTCTATGTTTAAAGGGCATCAGTGACTAATGATTGCAGATCTTATAGTAATAGTCCTTCCATTCTAACTCCAAAGCACGATATGTTTCAGAGTTTGCATAAACTCAAAGAGCCTTCAGTCTTGTTGCGTTGCCGAGAAAGTGATGTTCACCTGGTAGCTGATGTCGTGCACTCAGCCAAAGAGGAATATGCAGCAAAGGCTGGGGTTCACCAGCCTGAGATCATAATTGATCAAATCCACCTTCCTCCTGCTCCCTCCCATCATGATGCACATGGTCCTTCCTGGTATGATGTTCAATTGATTCTGTTATTTCATGAAGAACCATAAAAATGACATTTTATTGTAACGTCATTTGACAACTTTGCATTACCTACAGCGCTGGTGGAGTGGTTTTGGCTTCCAGAGATGGCAAAATAGTATGTGAAAACACTCTTGATGCAAGATTGGAGGTTTTGTTTCGTAAAAAGCTCCCTGAGGTACTCTCTGCTACATGCAACCCCCCACCTGCAACCTTCGTTAAAAAGAATAATATCAGCTAAGAAGAACTCTAATAAAATGAAGGAAATTTTCACCCCAATAATCCTCACTTTTACGCATTTAACACAAATAATTCCCACTCAAAAAGTTAACATCACAAAAAATGAACCGCAAACTAACAATGTTAACTTTTCCGTTAGTTCTGTTTGCATGTTCTCCATGAAGGCATGGATAAAAAAAATGTATAAAAGTATTAACAATAATATATTTGATATTAGACTTAATTCCATTTTGAATGTAATTTAATACAACACCAACATCCAAGATTTAGTCCCAAAAGATTTTGGGTTCAGTATGAATGTAATATAATACTCTATTAAATATTTTTCATACAATATAGTACATATACACGAAGCCTTTATAACTTTGATTTCATATATCGATTCATGTTAGCGGACCCTAAACTCTTTTGGGACTAAGGCTCCAATGTTGTTGTTGTATAGTACATATACACGAACAAATAGTCATAAAAAAAATTTCTCTTTTATTCATTATCAATATTTAAACATATTCAATCTTTTTTCTTCATTATAATAGAAATTTCCAAGTATTTTTAGTCATATTACATTAAATATTAATACACTTTCATTTTTGGCATTAAAAGATTAAGAAAAATCGTATACCTGATTGTATCGCTTGATAGCCAGCTTTACCACTTGAGTGATAAGTGAAAAGTGGCTAATACAGATACAATTAACATGAGTACAAGAAGGCGGGCGTCGATAGCTGGAGAAGTAATTAGCTATTAAAATTTCGAGAGTTATCGCCTGGAGGCTGACGGAGGCAGTCTCCCCTTGTAGGGATACCAAGAAGTGGGCAACAAGGGTGAAGAAAGCGAAAGGCCATACGGGAGAATCTTGGGGGTTGTTGAGGGGATATTTTTTAATTAAGGGAGAACTACCAAATAAGTCCTCGAACTTACATAAAAAGTGCAAATCACCCCTTATATAGGAGGCTCTGTCCGGCCGTCACCATTTGGAGCGGTTCCCGGTGGAATTTTATGATGAATTTTTTTGAGCATCTTATTCATTAAGTCT